ATNTNTCTCTCTNTTTCCTTTCCTCCTCCTCTCTCCTCCTCTCTCTCTCTCTCTCTCTCTTAGATGAATAATATTTGAGAAATAATATTTTAAATAAGCGCTGATAATAATTAGATATACGTGTGTATGGTTTTTTTTTTTTGATAAAATAAAATATGTTCTATTATTTTATATTTTTGCTTATTTTTTAACAAAATTTAGTGAAAATTTTTTAATGAAATTTTGAAAATTTTTGAAAAAAAAAAGAAGAAAGGGGAAAAATTTGCTATTGTATAGCAATAGAATAGATATTAGGATGCTAGGATACGGTAATGCATAATAGGATAACAAATAAAATATGAATATTATGTTGCTTATTTTATTGTATTCATTAATTAACGCTTAGCTAACATTTTTTACGAACTTCAAATTTAAACAATAACAATAAGGCAAACAACAAACAATAAAGCAAATCATTTTTGTGTTTTTAATTACAAATATTAAATCTATTTGATAAAGTAGAAATTACAATAATTACAAAATTGCAATTATAGGTTACAATTTTTCCTAAATTTACTAATTGCAATTTTTAAATTACAGTTTTTTTTTGCTGTTTCTAAATTACAAATTAAAGTCTTTTTTTTTCTATTTATCCAACAAGAAAGATCGAAAGCAACTAACTATTGAATGATTATGATTAGTGTTCAGTGTGATATAATGATAAACTTTTAACTGATCTTGTTGATAATGATAAAAATCTTCAGTGATTATAACAATAATATAATTAACCTCTTGAACGGATGCAATGACATCGATGAATTCATTCATTGATGATCAAACAGATTGCAATAATGGTCAGCTTTTTAAAAAATTTTTTTTGTAATCATTAATAAAATGAATTGATAAATAATACAGGATTATAAATTATTAGGAAAAATTTTTGAAATATATTTTCGTCATATTTTTGAATCATTAAAATATTCTATTTTTAAATACTAATGTGAAAAAAAAAATAGTAGCTCTTAAATCATTTGTTGAATATTATCAACAGTTACTTTAAGCTTTAAGCTTTTGAGCATTTAACCATCGACAGACATATCATACACATTTAAATAATGAATAATAGCGGAAAAAAAATAAATTGGAATTGAAGTAGGAGAAATTGTGCATGCTTGTTGAAAATTTAATGAAATACTTGAAAAAAAAAGAAGGCTTTATGAAAAAGGAATTGGTAAAAAAAAGAAAAAAAAAGTGGGAAAGAATCGGTAACTTATTTGTTTCACCGCACATTTCAATAAAAAATGATTGCTAAAAAAAAAACAGAAAAAAAAAGGAAGTGAAAATTTTTTATTTGCATTCAATACAGAACAAATTTTTCATTCATTTTTATTATTTTCTTTTTTCTTTAAAAAAAAAAAATCTTGTATAATATAATTTTAATGAAAACACAATTCCTGTCATTTTTTCTTTTTTTTTTTTTTTTGTTTTTTGTTAATTTTAAAATAATACGAACAATTAAATGAAATATAAATGAAAGAAATGATGCAAAAAGATGTAAATAAAAATGCGAAAAAAATAGTTTAAAAGAAAAAAAGAATAATTTCTACTTTTTCTTTTCATCTTTTATTGTCATGAAAATGAAAATTTACTAGAAAACAAAAAAATTGTTGAAATAATTTCATAAAATTATTTTATAAAATTCATTAATTTTTAGATAATGAAACATAACAACATTGGTTTTTAATACATTTTTCCCTTTCCTTCCATTCTTTTACCTTTTTAAATCATTTTTTTTTCTTGTAAGAATTTTATAAAATTTTCAGTACCAAAAAAAGTAGAAATACTGTTAAATAATTAAATAAGTAATTAAATAATTTTCGTCATAAACACCTGTTTGTTGGAGAGAAGAAACTTTTGTGCTTTTATGTGATTGTAAATTATGCTATGGTGCACCGTATCTGATAGGTCTCTATTAAAAAGCCAAATAAAGTATGTTTACAGACAAGATGGGTTCATTAACTTTCGGGACAATTATTCTAGGAAAAGATCAATCCAGGATAGATGAAACTTGTTTATCCCTGTAAGGTTATTCATCTCAGTGAAGGATGCTCTAACTAAACCTATGTCCTGAAAATCTCGCCATCACCGTTCCAGTTCGCTAGGTCCGGACGATAAATCTTAGGAGTGACGGGTAAGACCAGTTCTGCGTATGTTTCTGTGTCTCATCAAAAAAAAAAAAAAAAAAAATACCACTGCACAGACTCGAAAGATACAATCATTTTTTAAAGAGATGTAACATTAGGCATGGGAACAAAATGGCAAATGATAGGTATTACTGAAGACACAGTTGCACTAGGATAGGCGCGTCTCCAAGATGCATAAATCACCGCCTTCCTAAGATTATATTTTGTGGCGAATAAGCTACAGCCTTCAGCAAAAGAAAAATCACAAAGAGGAGATATAAGGATGCCCTGAAACAATACTTCATCCTTGGCTATATACACTACTATCAATGATCCATTCTGGCTTTGGCTTTGAATCAGAAAACATAGTGACACATCATTCATAATGCTACTGCTTTCTTTGTGAACTTGAAAAAACCGTATCTCATCAATATTGCCTAAGTAAATCTTTCACTGTATCTTTTGCAACCAAACTTGTCTATCATGCAAGAAGCCTTTTTAAGCCATCAGCATGTCTGCAACATGCATAAATATAATTCCTTACATAACTTTGTTCATGAAGCCTAGCCTAGTTATGATGATGATAACGATGATGACGACAATGATGATGATGATGAATTAAATAATGCATGAAAAGGTGAAATTTAAAATTTCTCATAAATACAGAAATTATTCGTAGAAATTTTCAAATGTGAATATATCGAAAACATCAAATAGTTAAATAGTTAGATTAATGTGAGAATAAAATGTGAACAAGTAAAATTGTTACAGCATAAATAATTGCTATAGCATAAATTATTTATTAGCAAGGCCATCTTTACAACATTCCTTTTTTTTTCCACTTTCCTTTCATCAAAATAAGTAAATATTTTTAGAAAAATATATTTAAATTTTAAATTTTACCAAAGAAAAAAGAAAGGAAACAAAATTCCCATCTTACCGTTTTTTTTTTAAAAAGGTAATATGAAATTGAAGAATGAAGGAAGTTTTTTTTTTTTCCCAGCAAATTGAAATAAATTTTAAAATGAATTTTTTTTCAACGTATGAGAAAATTCTATGAAAGGAAGGAAATTTTGGTCTATTTATAATAATGCAAGCATTTCATTTTTCCCACTTATTAAATAGCATTTTAAATTTTTAATTGTTAAATTTAAATTCTTAAATAAAAAATATGCAAAGGACAAAAAAAAAAGGAAAAAAAGTAGTTTTGAACATTTTATAAATGTATGATGAGTGAGAATAAAAAAAGGCAAAAAAGATAAATTAAATGCAAGGACTATTTTTTAAAAATAAAAATATTTAACAAACGAAAAAAAAAACAAAATTTCTTCATAACATTAATTTAAAATGTTTTTTTTCCTTTTTTTGCTTTTTCTTTGCAGGAAATAGTTAATAGAAAAATAAAATGATGAAAAAAAAAGAAAAAAACCGCGCATATAAGAAAATTTATTAAAAAAGATCTTTGATAATAATAAATATACGAGAAATTTTGATTATTACGAAACGATAAGATATTTGAAATATACTAAAATATGTACAATAATTTTAGCAAAAGGAAAATTGTATAAATTTCAAAGATTTTTCAATTTTTTTTTTTTTAAAGCTAGAAAGATTATATTTTATGTAATTTTTCTATGTTTTAAATTATTCCAAATGAAAAAATTTCATTTGCATTAACAATTTAATAGTTAAAAATTAATGTTAAAATTTTTTGCATATTTTTTTATCATTACATTTTTTAGAAAATATTTCATTTGTGAAATAGTTATTTTAACATTATTGCAATAATTATTTGAATTTTTTCTTCTTTCTCAACTATTTAAATTCTTCTCTGTTATCTTAAAAACAGGTCACAGCTTTGATATATATGAATTTTCTCTATGTTCAAAAACTCTTCATTTTGAAAGAAAATTGCAGAAATTTTTTGGTTGTTCAAAATTGTCATTAAATGTCACTCTAAATAATGTCACCCTAAATAATGTCCATATGACAACAACTAACTCATTTATAATTAATATTAGGATTATCGCGCAACTTCTTCATGCTTTTAATCGTACAAAATGTATAGCATTCAGTTGTCATTTGTATGCTATAAAACTAATACCATGCAATTTCCAGTTTAGTTAGTTCTGCTTTAAGGTCATTCATCTTAGAGAAGGATACTCTAACAAAAATCAATGTCCTGAGGACTCCGCTGTCATCATTCAAGCTCGCTAGGCCTCAGAAGATAAATCTTTAGAGTAAAGGGTAAGTATAACTAGTTCCGCATACGTTGTATCCTATCAAAAAAATCCATTCTGCAAACGCCAGAGATACATTTACTTTTGTAAAGACCTCGAGCGACAGGTGTGGGACGAAACGGGAAGTGATATGATGCAATTGCATGCAGTAGCAGACCGGAACATGCATGCAGATGGTTCAGGACATTTGTTGTTCAAGATTGACTCCAAGATGATTGTTTTGCTCGGCAACAATCCTGAATGACCAAACAGTCTTTTTTCAAGGAGAGTACTTCTTACACTACATCGAAAAGGGCATTAGGAAAGATGACCTAATCAAAATTCATCTCCATTGTCCACCTAGTTGGCTAACTACGGTAAATAGGCATCTTCTAATGCAGTCGAATAATAACAAAAGGAAAAAAGCATGCATCTTCCTCCAAAGATGAGTGTACGTTTTCAAATTGACATTTACATAATGGAACATTAGAACCATACTTGATAATGCAAATAATAGATATCCTGAGCTTTTTCTCTAATTACACATAAAACCATATCATGACTCAATATCAATTTTGCTACCCTCAGTGAAATGGTCGCCACAAGGACAGCTTTAAAGAACGTAGTACTGACTATATGTGCTATTAATCAGGTAAGACCAAAACCAAAAGTTATCTTACAGTTTGGCTTCATTGGTTAGAAATTACATTGCATTCAAACTCGAAAATTTGTTGACAGGTCATTGCAATCGTATTATTTTCCTATACCTTCCATTACATAACAAACAACAAGTTGTTCTCTTCAACACGTATACTTCACCAGTACAAGTTGATCCCATGGTAAAAGATAAATTCTGCATCGAACCGCGCTATCTCATCCAAAAGATTCATGCAGATGATAAGGTCAAAATCCTTTTACTTCAATGCCAAAATGAGAAAGAATTCTGAAACCTGGAAAGGAATAGTGAGTAACAATGGTGTTAGAATAAGGATCAGCTTCTGCCAGAGTTTTGTGTAAAGCATATCATCTTTCAGCAGAGGTAGAGTTTGAAGAGAATCTGGATGCATCATCAATCCAATCACTGGAATATTATTGATTACATTGTAATGTGTCGGAGAAACTTTCGCAATATTCGGTACACGTGAATGATATCTAGTGGAAAATGTTGAACGAACCACCGCCTTGTGCGATGAAAACTTAACTTCCACTTCAAGCTCGAACTTTAAAGAGATAGGTTTTCAATGAGGAGGCTTAAAGTTGATAGTCTTTAAATAAAATAATAGCTATATTGCGAGACAGTTTCCAGATAAACCAGCCTTCAAACTAGACTTGATTACTTCCTCTTTCCCCTAAAAATCCGTAGTTTTAAAGTGCTTTGGTAACATATTAAAAACATGATGTAATCCTACGAGGAATTCTTATGATTGCTCACCAAGAAAAACAGAAACTAATTTAAAGAAAAAAAAATAACAAGAAATTGTTGACAAAGAAGCGAACTGCTCATTGAGCACACCTCAATCATTCATCTTACAATGCAAGAAGCATGCAGGAAGCTTCAATAAAAGCATCGAGACATTAAAAAAAAGTAATGGATCAATCTAGCGGTAAAGACTGAACGTGCACAGATTCAGATTACCACAGAGGATTCTACGAGACTCTAGAAGCTGTACATTGATCTGCATACTACGAATCGTAGATGACAAAACGCTTCTCACTGACAAAATCTCTTCCTGAATCGATGGTTTGAACATTTCCAGACTCTCTTCAGTGCCAACGCGCAATCCAAGGCTCAATAATTCCGCACATTACACAACAAGTAGTGAAAAACGAACTGAATATAACCCCAACTGTGACAGAACCGCTCAATGCCATGCAATAAATGAAAATTGGCGAAGCAGTTGAGATTGATGGTAATCCCGCCTGAGGTCTGGAAACATGGAGGTTAAGCTAAATTTTTACATTTTAGTAAAGAATGAGAATGAGTGATGCAGTTTGTATATAAAGAAAGGAATAAAATCAGACTGTTCAAATCACTGAGATAATATTTGGTTCTCTATTATTGGCAAAATTCTTACAAGTATATTTCTGAACAAATTAGTACTTGTTATCTCAGAAGAACTACAACCTGAAAGCCAATGTGACTTCAGAGCCAATAGGAATACCACAAAATATTTGGTATTGGATCTCAGGCAAAATACAACAAATGTTTATGGGACAGAACAAAGGACTTTATATGATCTTTGTTGATCACACAAAACCTTTGACACTATGACAGAAAACGCTTGTGACAGATTTTGGAACAATTAAAATATTGCTCCAATTTTCTGCAATGGATCATATCTTTACAAACTATTTCAGCATGATGCTCCAAAGGGCTACAGCAGATCAGATGAAAGAAAATGGCATTTACATCTGATATTGCACCAATGAAAGCCTATCCAACCTAAGTCCATCCATCCTAAGCCTATCCAACCTAAGCTTATCCAACGAAAAAAAGTGTCTTATATGATCTTTGTTCGACTGTAGACTTACACTGAGACCCTAAAACAGCTTTTCCGAGAACTGCTTTATGCTAACCTTTCCGCCTTCGTTTGTTTTTTTCTCTTTTTTTTATCAAATTTGTAACTAGGCTTTTGAACAGCTCTGTTTTTTTTTTTTATTGCACCAGACAGAATCTGGTACAATAAATAACTGAAAAATTTATAAAGCTGTTAACGGTCTATTCTTCTACATGAATTTTAATTATGGGTGGGCATTAGTCGCCATCATATGCAAATGTTTCCACCAGTGCTCTCTCCTTATAGTCCTAAACATTCACTGATTTAACCAACTGACTAATGTTATTTATTTTGAACATACCAAAGTCACCAACATATTATTGAGAATGCAGCTGCGCATGATGAGGCATATGTCCAGGATAAAGGATTACCGTCTCCCTAAGATTGTGATTTATAATGGTCAATTTTGGTCATCGTTTTTCCGCAAAAGAAAAGCCTCAGAAGAGGCGATACAGAAACAGTGCCTCAGCTTTTGATCATATTGACTATTCTAGCCATGAATTGGGAGACATGGAGGAGACACAACCATAATGCTACCACTTCCATTGCGAATTGATGCAATTAGCCTTGAGGAAAAAAAAGAGAGCAAATAAAAAAAAAAAAAACAAGAAAACAATGCTTTACCAAATACCACCTAAGGAGATTTTCAAGCTTTGCCTTTTGCAATCAAACCTTCTTAGCTTCCTCCCACATTGGCCTTTTTAGCCATAAGCTTACTTATGGCAAACATGGATAGAGCATTTCCTTTTATCGGTTGTTCACGAATCTTAACTATAATACGATAAATTCTGTCTTAATATTACTATTTTAATATCACCGTTATGCATTTTTAAGATAAATACTAAGAGCATTTTAAATGTTTATCAAAATGACAATATGATAAGCTCTATATGACAAACAATATTTATTGCAAAAGTAATCTTTGATTTTTACCACTTATTAGAAATAATAAATGAGAAAAACGATAAACTTTTATGCTAGCAATAAAAGATAAAGGAGAGAGAGAGAGAGAGAGGAGGAAAAAAAAAACTATTAGAAA